TACTACTACTACTACTACTACTACTACTACTACTACTACTACTACCACTACCTACTACTACTACTACTACTACTACTACTACTACTACTACTACTACTACTACTACTACTACTACTACTACTACTACTACTACTACTACTACTACGACTACTACTACTAGTACCAGATCCATTTGCATATTTTAGAATCGATGTTTACGCTTCGGTGCCCTCTTGCTCATCTTAACGTAGTGCTCGTGTGCAAACCAAAACTGAGACCAATTCCAACTCGAGCATGCATGTTGGCTTCCAGATCCTGTGCGTTGACATAAGGAATGTCACTTGGTCTTCGCACTCGTCTTGGGCTTCTCTACAATTAAAATCCTATTGTGGGCCTATCCCAAGATGGTTGGGATTGGGCCCAGTTTGCTTTTCGCACTGGTTGGGATTGGTCCCAGTTGGTTGGGATTGGGCCCAGTGGGTTGGGATTGGGCCCACATGCGGGTGGAACCCCCCCCCTCTCCCCCTTCCCCGATCCGTCGTCGGGACCCCCCCCCCCCCTCCCCCCCATTCCCCGACCGTCGTCGGGGACCCCCCCCCCCTCCTCCCGTTTCCCCGATCCGTCGTCGGGGAACCCCCTCTCCCCCTCCCCCCCTTTCAAAAGGGGGGGGTCCGAACCACCGACCCCTCCCCCCCTTTGGCCGCAACCCGCCCCCCCTCTCCCTTCTTTTCGCCACGCCGCCCCCTGACTCCGGAACCCGACCCCCGCCACCCCTACCCCTAGTCCTCACCCTAACCCAAACCCCTAATCCTAACCCCAACCACTGACCCCAGCCCCAAAAAGTACTCACTACTGATTACTCACTACCCACTACTGACTACTCGCCATGCGCTACTCACTTCTCACTACCCCCCACTCACTACTCACGACTCACTACTCACTATCCACTACCCACCACCCGTACTCGCTACTCACTACACCCTACTCACTACTCCCTCCTCCCTACTCACTACTCACTACCGACTACTCAATACTCACTGCTCACTAAGCACTACTCACGACTCCCTACTCACTAATCACTAATCACTACTCATTACCCACTACCCACTATCCACAACTCACTACTCACTACTCATTGCCCACAAATCACTTCTCACTACCCACGACTCGCTACTCGCTACTCCCTACTCCCTACACAACACTGACTACACAGTATTCAGTACTCACTACTCGCTAATCCCATACTCGCTGCTCGATACTCACTTTTCACTCCCGGCTACTCACTACTCACTACTCACTACTCCATACTCACTAGTCACGACATACACTCTAGTCAGTAGTCACAGCTCACTAGTCACTAGGCACTAGTCACTACTCACTACCCACTACTCACTACTCACTAATTGCTACTCACTACTCACTACTCGCTACCCACTTCTTACTACTCACTGCTCACTACTCCCTATCCCCTACTCCCTACTCACTACTCACTACTCGCTACTCCCTACTCGTTACTCACTAAATCACGACCCACTACTCACTACTGACTACTCTCTACTCACTACTCACTACTCATTACGCCCTACTATATCCTCACTGCTCACTACTCGCTACTCCCTACTCGCTACTCACTGCTCACTTCCCACTGCCACTACCCACTACTCTCTATTCATCACTACTCACTAGTCACTACTCACTACGCACTACGTACTACTCAGTACTCACTACTCACTACTCACTACTCACTACTCGCTACTCACTACTCACTACTCACTACTCACCACTCACGACTCACTACTCATTACTCACTACTCACTACTCACTACGCACTGAGCACTACCCACTACTCACTACTCACTGCTCACTATTCGCCACCAACTACTCACTACCCACTACTCACTACCCACTACTCATTACTCCCTACTTCCTACTCAGGACGCACTACTCGCTACTCGCAACTCGCTACTCACTCCTCACTACTCGCCACTCACTACTCACTTATTTGTACACACTACTCACTATTCACTACTCACTACTCCCCACGCCCTACTCCCTACTCCCTACTCGCCACTCACTACCCACTACTCACTACCCAATACTCACTACTCACTACGCGCTAACTCACTACTCACTACTCACCACACTCTACTCCCAACTCCGTACTCCCTACAAACCTTCTCCGGGGCAGAAAGGACAAGCGAGAGAGGCCCCCCCTGCTCGGCTCCCTTTCCGGCGCAAAGGGGGGAGGGGAGGGGGGGGTCCGCCCCCCTCTCCCCCCTTTCCAGCGCCAAGGGGGGAGGGGGGGGGGTCCGGACCCCCCCCCCCTTCAAAAGGGGGGGGGGGGTCGGGACTCCCCCCTCCCTTAAAGGGGGGGGGGGGAGATTCGGACCCCCCCCCTTTGAAGGGGGGGGGGGAGTCCGACCCCCCCCTTCTTTTAGTGTATTCAGGGAGATCCACTGGCGCACTTTCTTTATCTCGGGCGGGGCGAAAGGGGGGGATAACAAAGGTGGGGGGTGAGAATCAGCTCACGTAGCTTATTGTAGTGGCCTTCGGCCAGTGCCGCCGATCCGGGGCGCTCCGACTGATGTGATCTTTCTTCGCCCTCGTCCCTCCTCTCTTTTTCCCTCCCCTCCTCTCACTCAGCATTTATCCAGTGGCCGTCGGCCTATCCCGCCACCGTGCGTGGGTGGTGGGTCAGAGGCCTCATGGATGCTGGTTGGGATCTCGTGGTTGGCTGGGACTTCTGGGGGCCTCTTGGGCGCCTCTTGGGGCTTCTTGGGGGCCTCTTGGGCCTCTTGGGGCCACTAGAGGGCCTCTTGGGGGTCTCTTGGGAGCCTCTTGGGGCTTCTTGGGGGCCTCTTCTGCGCCACTTGGGGCCTCTTGGAGGCCTCCTCGGAGCCTCTTGGTGCCCTTCCCCGGCAGAGCCACCCCGGCAACCCCCCCAGAGGCTGAGGCTCAGCCTCGAGGCTGTAGCTGAGACTCCTTGAAACTCACACGCCGGATCGGCGGATTTTCCCAGCGCCTCCCGGCGCCGGAGGCGGCCATGTATCGAGGAATGGGCCCCTCGGTGGGGCCGAAACCAGCTGCACGTAGCAAATTTCGTACCCCCCCCTTTCCCAATCCCCCCCCCCCTTTCGTCTGCACCGATAATCGTCTCCCCACAACGCAGCGCCCAACAAAGGAAATGGTCCAGGCCCCCGGGAGCCCACGCATCGATAAGACCTAGAGCGCCGGGTGCCCGGGTGCCTGCCGCCGCCCGCCGCCGCAGGCCGCCGCTCACGGCCGCCGCCCGCCGCCGCCCGCCGCCACACCTCCGACGAGCCGACCTTCTTTTTCAACTTGGATGCTTCGCCTGGACTCCTCGGGCGGGTGGTGATGGAGGGGAGACCCAGACGGGGGGGGTGAAGACAAGGCGCCCTATAGAGGGGGGCGCTTCAGGGCCCCGGCTGGCTCCAGGAGAGGGGCCCCAAAGTGCTCCTTTATAGGGCCCTTGTCGTCACCCCCCCTTAGCAGGACGCCCCCCAGAGTTGACCGCCCGCCCAGACTTCGGCGTCCTTGGCCTGGGGCCGCTGCCGGGCCCTGGGGCCCTCCGGCACGGCGCGGGGACGGAACAACGACTCTCCCCGGGGAAGGGTGGCCAGTGCCTCGTGCGAGCTGGAGGCCCCAACGCTGAAGGGGCCCTGGGCCACACAGATACATACACACAAATAACAGCATTCCCCATATTTTCCAACACCGTCTGGACTTCTGTCTTCCCCCCCACTTGCCATATTTTCCAATATTTTCCTGGGAGTCGACGAGTAATTGTGTCTGCGTGTTTCTTTCCCTCCCTCCCCCCCTTTGTTAATTCAAGCTTCGCGCGGCCCGCTTAGCTTCGACCGGAAGAGGTGCGCTCTCGACCCGCGAATCAAACAAGTGTGTTTCTTTCCCTCCTGAAACGCGTCGTGAAGCTAAAGCTTACCCGCCTGGAACATATCCCTATCCCCATGCTGGACATCTCCTCATCGCGATGCCAACATGTGGGACTCCCTTCTGTTTTGAGGGCGCATCCCTAAGATTGTCATCGCCGTCTGGCGTGTCAGTCTTAAGGACAGGGGTACGTTCGAGGCTGGTAATATATATATATATATAACAAAAAAACGACGGACCAACTTCTCGACACGCCTTCGGCGGCGGCCTCCGATCACGCAGGCCCGCGCCGGGCCCCCGGGGCCGCCGACACAAGGCGACCCCAGACGAGCAGAGGTGGGGGGGGGCGCAGCGCTGCTGGGGGGGCTGCCACAGAGAGGGGGAAGCCTCGACCACGGCGACCCCAGACGAGCAGAGGTGGGGGGGGGCGCAGCGATGCGGGGGGGGGGGGCTGCCACACAGAGGGGGAAGCCTCGGCCCAGAAGCGGCGATGCGTCGCCGATGGATCGGCGATGCGGTAGAGGGAAACAGCCAGTGGACTCCCCCCCCTGCCCCCCAAACTCAAAATCGGCACGCGCGGGGGCGGACTGCGGTCGAGGTGCAACTCATCGGACCCACCACCAACTTTGAACATTGGGGGGAGAGGGAGGCGTTCACAGATGAATGTGGCATGAGTGTTCGCTATTTTCCGAGGCCTGTAGGCCCCCAATAGTGAATGCAAACCTTCCTGGGCAGGCAGGGGCTATCGGGCCCCTATCGGCGATCAATGGGCTATAGGGGGTCGATGCGTCCCCCCCTGTGAGTATCCCCCCATCGTTGCCCCTGAAGAGGCAGGTCCGGGCACGACCTCGGGGGGGTGACGTGGTGAAAAGAGCACGACGCCAGGTCCGCTTGCCTCCTTCTCCTCCGCTTGCCTCCTTCCCCCCCCTGCTCTTCACCTCCTTGCTCATTTTGTCCGCGCGTTGCTGCGCGATCACCACGCACGCGCTTGGCCGCCACTGCGCGGCCATGTCGCGTGCTCCTATCCTGCGTCGTGCCCGTCGATCTCTCAACCAATGGCCACCGACTCGACACACGTGAACACGAAGCCGCAGACGCACCGCTATCGCTCCTCACAGCGCGGCAGACACCTGCGCGGAGCCGTCGCCCACGGCGTACGTCCGCACGAAGCGGACGCACGTGTCGTTCCAGCTCTCGTCCCACTCTGTCAGCGGCTCATCACCGACTAGCGAGAAGCCTGCGCTTTCCATGTCCCGAAAGAACAGGGCGTCCGTGTACTCGCTGCCGTCCCTGTGCTGGTAGGCGAACACGACGCGCCCGCCTGGGCAGGCCAGCAGCCCGGCGATCGTCTGCAGCAGCGCCCGCAACACCTCCTGGACCTGCTGGTAGACGACCTCGCAGCACAAGATCACGTCGAACGGGCCGCGCTCGGACAACAGCCGAGATCCGTCACCGTGCCTTGGGCACGTCGGGGCGTGTTAGAACTCGAATACAGGATTGACCACATAATTGATTTACCCCATATACCCCATACTTGATCTTCCGTCGAATCTAAAGCACATTCGTGGACCGCCTCGTAGATCAACTGAGCATTCCATGGAACTCGTTCTCCTAGAAGTGCCAGGAAAACAAGTCTGGGGCATGTCAAGTGTGCAGGCGACCCCAGACGCGAAGCATGACCCTCTGCTGTCTGGTCGGGTTTCGGCCGAGCCCTCACCGGGCCGGGCCCGCCCCACGGGCCGCGCGCCCCCCCTGCTGCGCAGGCGAAGGAGCGGGGGACTGCCGCAGGCAGCTGGACATGGCGCCCACGTCCCCCCACATGAGAGGCCTCACCTCTGCGGCCGTCGTCGCGTCCGCGGGCGCGCCGCCAGCGCCCGCGCCGGACGCCACCGCGGCGGCCAGGTTCCGGCTCAGCAGCGGCGTGACGCGAGGCACGTCCGTGAGGGTCACCACGGCGCCGAGGTTCGAACAGGAGAAGTAGGCACAAGCATAGTAAGGTGTCCGAGCTCCGCGCTGGGAGGCGGGCATTCATCCATATCCACCACCCGAGGCACCGACGTCCGGGGCCCCCAGCGGGCGGTGGATGTAGATGTATTTTGGCCCTGGAGGGCCCGAGTCTGTCGGTAACCACCGCCTGCCGAATCACCTGAGATGACCACGATGGAAACCACCGCCTCCGCAAGTTCACATAACAACCAGGACGGGCGAAATTCCGTGTTTGTGGGGCAGCGTTTCCATCTTGCGCAAGTTGCCCATTCGGCACTGCGCGCAGCTCAAGCAATTACGTGCGCCCAGTACTTCAAAATTTCCCCGAGCAAAGCACCCTGATAGCAGCAAAAGTAACATGAGAGACATGTGGGACCTGCAGGACATGTGGGACCATCGAGGCCTGCTAGACCAGTTGGAACTGTGAGACATGTGGGACCTGAGGGACACGCGGGACCTGCGGAACCTGTGGGTACTGCGGGACCTGCGGGACCTACGAGACCCGCGAGCCCTCCAGGGCCTGTAGGACCTCTGGGACTTGTGGGACCTCTGGGACCAACGAGCCCTGTTGGAGCTGTGGGACCTGTGGGACCTCGACTTGTGGGACCTGCGGGACCAAAGAAACCTGCGAGACCTGTGGGATGTGTGGGATCTGTGAGACATGCGGGACCTGTGGGGCCTGTGGGACCTGAGAGACCTATGAGACCTGTGGGGCCTGTGTGGCCAGTGGGACCTGTGGGACCTGTGCGACCTGCAAGACTTGCGAGGCCCGTGGGAATTGTGCGACCGGTGGGACCCGTCGGACCTGTGGGACATGTGGGACCTGCGTGGCCCGTGAGAACTGTGGGACCTGTGAGACCTGTGAGACCTGTGGGGCCTGTGGGACCCGCTGGGCATGTAGGGCCTGTGTGACCTGGGGGACGCGTAGGACATGTGGGATATGTGGGACCAATGGGACCTGTGGAACCTGTGGGGCCTGCGAGACTTCTTAAAATTACGAAACCTGTGGGGCATGTGGGTCATGTGGGACCTGTGGGACCTGCAGGATCAACGAGACCTGCGAGACCTGCGGGGCCTGTGGGACCTCCGGGCGTTGTGGGAGCGGTAGGACATGTAGAACCTGTGGGACCTTTAGGATTCATGGGACATGGGAGACCTATGGGATTTGTTGGACCAATGGGACTCGTGGGGCCTGCGAGATCTGCCAGACTTGCGAGGCCTGCGGCGCCTACAAGATTTGTTGGGCCTGCGGGACATGTGGGATCTGTGGGACTTGCGACAACTGTGGGACTTGGGGGACTTGTGGGACCCGTGGCACCCGTGGGACCTTTGGGACCTGTGGAACCTGTGGGGCCTGCGAGGCCTGCGAGACCTGCGAGACCTGGGGGACCTGTCGGACCTCCGGGGACTGTTCGACCTGCTCGACCTGCGAGACCTGTGGAGCCTGTGGGAACTGTGGGGCTTGTGGGAACTGTGAGATCTTTGCATCCTGTGGGTCCTGCGACCGCCGGAGGACCAAAGTAAAACCCTTAATTGTGGGGCCGCCGGGCACCCAAATACGGACCTTAATTGGGCCCCCCGGGGACTTCTGATTAAATTTCGTGGATCGACAAATGCATCGTGCTTTGGGACCATCGACGCCCCCTGGGGGATTTATCAAGGAGCCCGACGCTCCTTACGCCCACCATGTTTCCTTGGAGCGGGGGAACCCAAAATTCAAACGTTCCAGCGTGGCCGTCGGAGTCCCTCAACCAGCCACTCCGCTTGGAAACGCAACTCAACTGTTCTGCCGAGACCTGAAGGCGACTCTGATGCCGTCACCGCCGCATGTGCACTGCATCCGCCAATCCGCAGGCAAACCCAAGACACCGCTATGGAGGCGGGCACGACCCCAGACGGCACCAGCAGACCCCTTGGGGAGCTCACGACGGCTCGCGATGGCCCCGAAGTGTCCCACAGAGTCGCAGAACGGCCCGAGAATGCCCCAAGAGGCCCCCAAGACAACCCAACAGGATCCCGTGACAAGCCCAACGAGGCCTGAGAGTAACCCGTGAGAGACCCAAGAGAGGCAATAATAACGGACACAAAATGAGGCACAAAAGTACGGGGGACTCACAACGGGGGAAGGAGGAGGGGGGGGCGGCGACGACGAAAACGGTGGAGTAACGACGCGGAGAAGCCTGTCACACGCTGCGGCCATTGTGCAGGCATGGGCGACGATCGGTCGCGTGGCACGGTTTTCTTGGCGTTCCTCTCGAACTCCCCGCGCCGAAAAATGCGCAAGCGCAGTGCGCGGGACTTGCCGCGAACAACTCGGCACAACGCAACCGCCCGATGACCCACGCGCAGGCACAACGCGTACGACTTGTCACCGGAGTCCGCGCCCTCCGCGGGCCGGCCGGGCGCTCTCCACGTCGTTCTGCGCGCAGGGGACGAAACAACAGAAACAACAGGATGCGAAAAGAGGGACGGGGAGGGCAGAAAGAAAAGAGGTTGGGCGAGAGGCGGACCACAAATGACCACCGCCCCCCAAAAACAGTGGCAACCGCAAGCGCTGAGCAGAACAAGCGGAGCGGCATTCCAATGCTCGGGCGCGCCGCCAAGAAAGGGAAGGAGAGCGGGGGGGCCCGCGAGCCCAGCAGGAACAAACCTGGCGGCATGCGAAGCGCGACAGGAACACTCGCCGTGCGGAAGCGCTCTGCCCGCATGCACGAGCGCACCGTCGCCCCAACATCGGCGCAAAAAATCACGCCGCGCGAGGCACCGCCGCGCGGGGGCATATCCGCCCAGGCACGACACGTGCAGCTGACGAGGGACAAGGGCGTTACGCGCCGCCTGAAACGTACTGCTGCAATGCCGCAGCGACCACGTTCTTACGAATTCGACCTCCCCAGATCTGAAGGGGCCCAGGGACACACAAATAATTACACACAAGTAATCGGATTCCCCATAGTTTCCCATATGTTCTGGGTTTCTGTCTTCCCCCCCACTTCCCATATGTTCCTATATCTTCCTGGGGATCGACGATTAATTGTGTCTGTGAGTTTTTTCCCCTCCTGAGCAATGCCGCAACGACCACGTTTTTACTAATTCGACCTCCCCAGATCGGCGCGCGCGCGTGCGTCGTGGGACACGGGCACCGCCGCGCAGGATCGCCACCCGGCCTCGCGAGAGCACGCTGCAGGGAGTCTCCAAAGCGCTGCAAGTGGCCAGGCTGCAACCCTGCGAGGAAGCGCTGCGTCGCACCAGAAACACCTGCCAACGACGACCGCAACACAAAAACGACCGACCAAACATTTTTTCTTTATGAGAAAAAGGAGAAAAAACAAAACGTCCAGAACTTCTGGTTGTGGTGGTTTCTTCGGCGATACGCAAGAGTGACCCTGGGTAAGAGTGACCTTTGGTGCGCGACTTTTGGGGGGCCGCGGGGGGACCAAACCTGGGCGCGCAAGTAGCTGCGACTGCTTCAGCCATCTGGGGACCCATCTGTGCCCGCACCAGAGGTCACTCCGGCGAAAGGTCACTCTTACTAGGGGAACAAAAAGTGGCATAAACATAAAAACTCGGAGGTCCGCGCGGAATTCTCGGATCGGCGCTGGACCCCCCTCCCTGGCGCGCGGAGCGCGCCAGGTGGCGGAGGTCCGCGCGGAGGATCGCCGACCCCCCTCCCTGGCGCGCGGAGCGCGCCAGGGGCGGCGCCGGAGGCGCCGCCGGGGGGGTCCCAACGCCGATCCGAGAAATCCGCGCGGACCTCCGAGTTTTTATGTGTATGCCACTTTTTGTTCCCCTACAGTCGGGGCGTTGACCTAAGGAACCCTAGCTACGGAACGAGGCCCCTTTCCTCCATAAGTGAACCTTCGATTTCCGGTCGAGGACCCAAGGAAAGCCTGAGGCAGGCTGTGAAACGCTCGAGGAGCGCCGAGCCCCTCCCCAACGAAAAGGGCTCCTTCTTCAGGGCCCCGACTGTACTTACGTCTATATTGGGCGCCCGAGTTATCCGGGGTAACTCGGGTCCAGGGTAACTCGGGTTTGGGTTCCCGAAAAACCAACCCGAGTTAGCCCTGACCCGAGTTACCCCTGATGATTCGGGGCTCTGGACGCCCGAGTTATCCGGGGTAACTCGGGTCCGGGGTAACTCGGGTTTGGATTCCCGAAAAGCGAACCCGAGTTATCCCTGACCCGAGTTACCCCTGATGATTCGGGGCTCTGACTATAGTCGATCTCTTGCGCGGTCCTGCGGCCGAGGCCCCGGGCCGGCGGTCGTGGGCGCAGCCGCCGCCCCCGGGCGCGCGCGGCCTCGCGGCCTCGGCGCCGCGCGTCCCCGGGGCAGGGCGCCAGAGGGTGCCGATCCTGGCCCGCTCCTCGCCCCAGGAGCCCGTTTCTCTTTGGGGGGGGGGGGGGGGGGGGCAGGGCGCTCGCCCCCCCCCCCCCCCCCCGCCCCCCCTCGCCCCTCTTCGAGCGAATACTAGCGTGCAAGTGCCTTTCGGCTTGCGTGATTTCCGCGCCCCCCCCCCCGAACGTGCAAGTCGTTTGCGGCTTGCTTCAGGCTCAGCCCCTCCCCCCCGTCCATGCAAGTAAACTTGCCAGAGTCTAAAAAAGAACAGGATCCAGGGGGGGGGGCACTACTTCTACAGTTAAGTCGGGCCTGTCCCCCTACAGGGAAAAGATCCCGAAATGGTCAAAGAAAAATATTCAAAAGATAGTCCCCAGGCTATGTTTTACTATGTTTGAAGACTCCCTGTTGAGGGTAGCCTCACCGAACCGACCTCGACCTGATACTTCGGCCCTGCCGTGCTTCTGCGAGCCGGGGGTCGCCCACTGCACGTACTGTGGAGCTGCATGTGCTGGCTGTCTTCGGAGCAGAGGCTGTAGCGAGAGATGGGCCTCTCGCGGAGCAGCGGCCCTGGGTACTTTAGTGGTGGAAGCAATTGGTCTTCAAGATGTTTGTTCTTTAGAGGCTCTGCGTGGCGGCGCCCCCGTCGCCACGCAGGCCCTCTGCGTGCCTGCGGGGGCGCCGCCACGCAGAAGCACTGGAGGCCGAG